TCAACAGTGTGCCCTTGCTGCCAAGAAGGCTAATGACATTTTGGGCTGTATAAGTAGGGGCATTGCCAGCAGATCGGGGGACGTGATCATTCCCCTCTATTCGACATTGGTACGGCCTCATCTGGAGTACTATGTCCAGTTTTGGGCCCCACACTACAAGAAGGATGTGGAAAAATTGGAAAAAGTCCAGCGGAGGGCAACAAAAATGATTAGGGGGCTGGAGCACGTGACTTACGAAGAGAGGCTGAGGGAACTGGGATTATTTAGTCTGCAGACGAGAAGAATGAGGGGGGATTTGATAGCTGCTTTCAACTACCTGAAAGGGGGTTCCAAAGAGGATGGATCTAGACTGTTCTCAGTGGTACCAGATGATAGAACAAGGAGTAATGGTTTCAAGATGCAGTAGGGGAGGTTTAGGTTGGATATTAGGAAAAAAGTTTTTCACTAGGAGGGTGGTGAAGCACTGGAATGTGTTACCTAGGGAAGTGGTGGAATCTCCTTCCTTAGAGGTTTTTAAGGTCAGGCTTGCCAAAACCCTGTCTGGGATGATTTAGTTGGTGTTAGTCTTGCTTTGAGCAGGAGGTAGGACTAGATTACATCCTGAGGTCCCTTCCAACCCTGATATTCTATGAATTCTTTAGCTTTCATGGTATATTTTAAATACAGCATCACCATAACAACTCCAGTCAACATGTGTTTCTGGAAAATAGATCCTGTCAAACTAACTTAATACCTGTTTTTTTATAAGATTACAAGACTGGTTGATAAAGGCAATAGTGTTAATATATTATACTTAGACATCTCTAAGGCATTTGACTTGGTACCACATGACTTTTTAATTTTAAACTACAACCATACAGATTAACTTGGCACACATTAAATGGATTTAAAGATGGCTAACTGTCAGGTCATGAAATGTAATTGTAAGCAGGGATTTATCATCAAACAAGTGCTTTAGAGACACTCCTTGGTCTTTCCATCACTCTCATCTCTAAACATTGAGCTAACACACAGTTTTTGATATTTAGAAAGTTTAAAAGTATCAATGTTGACCAAATGGGAATGAGGATATGGAGGTAGATATTACCGCATCCGAGGTAGAAGCAAAACTCGAACAGCTTAATAGGACTAAATCGGGGGGCCCAGATAATCTTCATCCAAGAATATTAAAGGAACTGGCACATGAAATTGCAAGCCCATTACTGACTCATTAAAAATTCTTGCTAAACTCAGGGGTTGTACTGTACGACTGGAGAATTGCTAACATAGTTCCTATTTTTAAGAAAGTAAAAAAAGGGATCCGAGTAACTATAGGCCTGTTAGTTTGACATCTGTAGTATACAAGGTCTTGGAAAAATTTTTGAAGGAGAAAGTAGTTAAGGACATTGAGGTCAATGGTAATTGGGACAAAATACAACATGGTTTTACAAAAGGTAGATCGTGCCAAACCAACCTGATCTCCTTCTTTGACAAGGTAACAGATTTTTTTAGACAAAGGAAACACAGTGGATCTAATTTATCTCAATTTCAGTAAGGCATTTGATACTGTTCCACATGGCGAATTATTAGCTAAATTGGAAAAGATGGGGATCAATATGAAAATTGAAAGGTGGATAAGGAACTGGTTAAAGGGGAGACTACAACGGGTCATACTGAAAGGTGAACTGTCAGGCTGGAAGGAGGTTACTAGTGGAGTTCCTCAGGGATCGGTTTTGGGACCAATCTTATTTAATCTTTTTATTACTGACCTTGGCACAAAAAGTGGGAATGTGCTAATAAAGTTTGCGGATGACACAAAGCTGCGAGGTATTGCTAATACAGAGAAGGACCGGGATATCATACAGGAAGATCTGGATGACCTTGTAAACTGGAGTAATAGTAATAGGATGAAATTTAATAGTGAAAAGTGCAAGGTCATGCATTTAGGGATTAATAACAAGAATTTTGGTTATAAATTGGTGACACATCAGTTGGAAGTAACAGAGGAGGAGAAGGACCTTGGAGTATTGGTTGATCACAGGATGACTATGAGCCGCCAATGTGATATGGCCGTTAAAGCTAATGCGGTCTTGGGATGCATCAGGCGAGGTATTTCCAGTAAAGATAAGGAGGTGTTAGTACCGTTATACAAGGCACTGGTGAGACCTCATCTGGAATATTGTGTGCATTTCTGGTCTCCCATGTTTAAGAAGGATGAATTCAAACTGGAACAGGTACAGAGAAGGGCTACTAGGATGATCCGAGGAATGGAAAACCTGTCTTATGAAAGGAGACTCAAAGACCTTGGCTTGTTTAGCCTAACCAAAAGAAGGCTGAGGGGAGATATGATTGCTCTTTATAAATATATCAGAGGGATAAATATCAGGGAGGGAGAGGAATTATTTAAGCTTAGTACCAATGTGGACACAAGAACAAATGGATATAAACTGGACATTAGGAAGTTTAGACTTGAAATTAGACAAAGGTTTCTAACCATTAGAGGAGTGAAGTTCTGGAACAGCCTTCCAAGGGGAGTAGTGGGGTCAAAAGACATATCTGGCTTCAAGACTAAGTTTGATAAGTTTATGGAGGGGATAGTATGATGGACTAGCTTAATTTTGGCAATTAATTGATCTTTGATTATTAGCAGGTAAATATGCCCAATGGTCTGTGATGGGATGTTAGATGGAGTGGGATGTGAGTTACTACAGAGAATTCTTTCCTGGGTGTCTGGCTGGTGAGTCTTGCCCACATGCTCAGGGTTTAACTGATCGCCATATTTGGGGTCGGGAAGGAATTTTCCTCCAGGGCAGATCGGCAGAGGCCTTGGAGGTTTTTCGCCTTCCTCTGCAGCGTGGGGCACGGGTCACTTGCTGGAGGATTCTCTGCACCTTGAAGTCTTTAAACCATGATTTGAGGACTTCAATAACTCAGGCATAGGTTAGGGTTTGTTACAGGAGTGGGTGGGTGAGATTCTGTGGCCTGCGTTGTGCAGGAGGTCAGACTAGATGATCATAATGGTCCTTTCTGACCTTGAAGTCTGAGTCTATAAAAACTGGGTGATAGTCTTCCTTTTGTCAAGAAATTAACATAGCATCAATTTCCCACTTTGCCCACCACACACAGCACAGTTACCAGAAAAGGACATCAGTTTTTGATCCCCGATTAGATCAACAGTCCATTATTCACTTCTTAACTTTGCTCTGTCAGCATTAGATATGAGTCCGAATCTTGGTTTTGAAAGTCAAACCTGTGATCATCTGTCTCAGAGGCCACATGAATACTGCCAATGAATGCTAAGTCCTGTGTACTGCACACAACTTAAAATTGAAAAATGTAAAAGCAGAACAAAGAGCAAGTAATATTAAGAAAATAACATGCAATGAAATGTAGAAACAAAATTAAAAATGGTAAGAATGAGGAGATCAAGAAATGGTATAATATACACCTTTCCAATTCAACAATTTAAATAGTTTGTCTCAGTGTATTAAAATAGCTGCAAAAACAGTAACCGTTTATACTTCAGCTATGAAAACAATAAATTTTTGCATGAAATCCTATCTAGAGCTAAAAATAGTAGCTTCTGTCTGATTTCTAACTTTCCCCTTCAATATTTTAGAAAAATAGAAAGGTTGCATTTTAAAAAAAATCAAGGTTCATGAAAGTACTGTGAAAATTCACCGCTTAAAGTAGGTCTTGGGTCCTGATCCTGCAAATTCTAATGCATAGGCATAACGTCACAAAAATGAATAGTGCCATTGAACTAAATTGATTGTTTAAGCAATCAATGTGCCTTTTAATACAGACACATTTAAAGAAACACATGTAAGAACAAACAGTGTAGGTCATGCTTACAAGATGGGGGACTCTCTCCCAGGAAGTAGTGATTCCAATACAGACTTGGGGGTCATGGTGGATAATATGCTGAACATGGGTGTGATGCTGTGACCAAAAGACCTAATTCAGTCCATAGATGTATTAGCGGAGGAATCTCAAGTAGGAGTAAGGCAGTTATATCACCTCTGTGTTTGGCATTGGTGCAACCACTTCTGGAATACTTTGTCCAATTTTGGGGTCCTCAATTCAAGAAGGATGTTGATAAATTAGATAGGGTTCAGCAAAGAGCCCTGAGAATGATTAAATGATTGGAAAACATGCCTTGCAGTGGTAAGACCCAAGGAGTGCCATCTAGTCCATTTAACAAAGAGATAGTTCTAGTGACTTGTTCGCAGTTTATAAGTACCTGCATGGGGACAAAAATTTGATAATGGGCTACTCAGTCTAGCAAACAAAGGTATAACAAGATCCAATGGCTGGAAGTTGAAATTAGACAAATTCAGGCTGGAAAAAGTTGCAGGTTTTTTTTTTTTTTTTAACAGTGACAGTAATTAACCTTGGAACAACTTAACAACAATTTTTAAATCAAGATTGTATGTTTTTCTAAAATACATGATCTGGTTCAAACAGCAGGGAATTCCTATGGCTCGTTTTATACAGGTCAGGTTAGATCAGTGGTGGGCAACCTGTGGCCCGTCAGAGTAATCTGCTGGTGGGCTGTGAGACAGTTTGTTTACACTGACTATCTATGTCGTCTTCTAAATTATGTTTGGTAAAAATCTGATTTTAAAATAAAAGTTTTTGGACTATGTGTTTCTTTTTCTTTCTTTCTTTGGTCCCTGGCTGTCTCCACTCTCATTTCATTTTGTCTGTCTAGCTTTCTACTTCCTTTGATCTCAAAGTATTCCTAAAATATTTATATTGTCCACTAGACTTTTTGTAACACCATTGCATAATTTACTGCATATTCACAGCAGCAGACCTTTCTAGAGATCTTATTAAAATTGACTATGCAGGAGGTGCTACTGAGAAAGCACTTCTGTACAGGGACTCAGCAATACTATAATTCTTACAGAGTTCCAAATGAAGTTGTCCTGCTGGTGTTAACTGCTACTTTTATAACAAACACGATGTCAAGATGCATTCCATGAAATAATACATATACTAATTTTTGTCATCCCTAGGTGGGAAAAATCTGTGCATGCAGAAGTGTCCCAATGAGTTCCTAAATGCTTCATTCCTTGCACATCTGTATGATGTCTGTACAGTTCTTTACTAACAGCCCTCAATATAAGGCCCACCTACTTCTCAGAGGTAAGCATTATTAGCAGTTTACATCTGGAAGAATTGAGACAGAGAGGGTAAAGGTGTGTCTACACTACAGAGGAACAGCTATTGGTTATGCAGGAATGCCACTCTAGTGCTGCAGTGTAAATGCTTCCTACAATGACAGAAAGGATCTTTCTGTTGATGTAGTTAATCCACTTCTCTGAGAAGTGGTAGCTAGGTTGACAGAAGAATTCATCCATCAACCTAGTTGCATCTATACTGTCGTTAGGTCAACCTAACTGCGGTGTTTAGGGTGCCAAATTTTTCACAGCCCTGCGATGTAGCTAGGTCAATATAATTTTTAACTTAAACCAAGTCACTGGACTTCTCAATGCAGATGGTCCAATACGTAATAGGACTTAATAAAAAGCCCATTGAAATCAGTTTCAGTTAAATTCAGTATTTCAGTTGAATTCAGTGGGCTTCAGGCCAGGACCATAGTTCATCTGATCACGTTTGCTTGTTCATGGGTGACTAAACTGGTGCCCTAGGACATACCAAGGTTAATCCTGCACATGACTGCATAAGTTTTTATAACTTCAAGACATGACCATCATTCTCATGATATGCTTTATTAATCTGATAAATATATTAACTACCAAAAGTTGTAGACCTATAATCCAGAAGGTTTCTGTGCTAAAACATAGTGTTCACAGTTGCAGTGGCAGATCTTTCTTTCTGGACTAGCATGAGAGAATATTGGCAGCTACAGCATTTTAAAATATAGCAGTGTCATTTTGTGACACAGTTCTCTTGTATTCTTTACAACAGGGATCAGCAACCTTTGGCCCACAGCCCGTCAGGGAAATCTGCTGGCGGGCCGGGACGGTTTGTTTTCCTGCAGCGTCTGCAGGTTCGGCTGATCGCAGTTCCCACTGGCCGTGGTTTGCCGTTCCAGACCAATGGGGGCTGCAGGAAGCGGCCCTGCACATCCCTCGGCCCACGCCGCTTCCCGAAGTCCCCATTGGCCTGGAACGGCAAACCGTGGCCAGTGGGAACTGCGATCAGCCGAACCTGCAGACGCTGCAAGTAAACAAACCGGCCTGGCCCGCCAGCGGATTTCCCTGACGGGCCACGGGCCAAAGGTTGCCGATCCCTGCTTTACAATATGGTAGTTACTTTAGTTTTATTTGATGATGTTGTCGTTTCCCAAGATATGTTAGCCTGAAATTCCAAGGTAAGGTTCCATTTTGCAAAAATCCTCAAATAATCAGAAGTATGCTAATGCACAGTTTAAATCAACCCAAACAAGAACTACTGTTCTCCCACAGTGGCACTCAGAACCAAGAAAAATTCAGAGATGACCTTTTCCTCTCTTCCCACCAATTCCTTTAATTAAAGGCTTCAAAATTAATAGTTTATTCTTAAACTTAGTGAAACTTTATCACAAAGTTTTTGCAGATGTGTGTTGCCTGCTCTCAGGGTGCTCCAAGGAGGTCAAAGTTAAGGTAGTTTGGGTGATCGTACTCTGCATATGCATAATTTAAAATATGTTTGATTTTTGTAAAGTAGAACCTTAATTTACAATTTACAAACATTTTACAAACATTCTTAACGTTTGACAATGGAGGGCGCAGGGAGAATTAAGAAATCCAGAAACTTAATTTGTAAATGCTGTAAATGATAGATTCATTGTGTTTTTTTGCTTGAGTATTTCCTTAGATTTTAAAAAAATGTTTAAGAATTGCTCAGTAATAGAAGTACCTGTAAACCTTGGAAGCCAGTCATAGATCCAAGCCCTGTTGGAATGTAAGCTGGACCAGACAGCCTCCCACTTCCATAAGTGGCTACCTCCTTCGTATTCCCCATGTTGGCCTTTCATTCTATATACAGCTTTCCCTCTCCCATGGCCCCAATGTAGTTTTCTATTAGCTACTCCCTACTTTGCCACTCAATGAGTAATTCTGCTATGACAAACTCATTCTAATAAAAATTATACCATACCATATCATTATGTATTTTACTTATATACATATATAGGTATTTTCACAACACCTTTAAATATCTCTATAATTCCTACATGCACTTCCTCAGACGTGTGAAAGCTCCTTCTTAACATTGTCTCTCAAAGAAGTGAAATTTGATGTTGCTGGATGCACCTGTTTTAAAGAAATGACCCAAAAGGGAGTTGGGAGAACCTTTGAAAAGTGAATGAAAGGAATTTTTTGAAATACCCGTATCTCTGAATTTCCTTGTTTGATTTGCCTTAAAAATAAAATAAAATAAAATATAAAAAAAAAGTTACCTTGTAATAAGATGTGAAGGAGACTGTTTTGTTTTTGTTATTAATATTGTCTTATTATAACTTATAAGTTTTATTCTGTGAATGAAACTCTCATTTCACTCTTAACTACTGCTCCTTAATAACAAGAAAATGTTTTTCATGGTTATCTCTTCTTGTAGCCACATGGTTTTTCTTAAAGTGTTCTTTAAATTAAAAGGCATTTTGAAGTGTGACAGAAATCCTGAAATTAATGTTTGGGCATGATCCTGCAGCTCCATTTGTAATAATTTATACCAAAAAATTAAGATTGGTTGTTAGTAACTGAGTGAATATAATTGTGGTACACAAATTATAAAGGCATATTACAAGGCTGCATGGCTCATGAGTAAGGAGAGGCTGTGCTGCTTCAGGAGGAGCCCTGGGAAAGAATTCTCTGGGTAGGGAGTAGGGGGGAAGTAACTTATTGTAGCCCTATACCTGGTGCCACTCCTTGTACCATTTCATCTCAGTTGGGGGTAGTGGGAGAGGGAATGGAGTCAAGGCTCCACCTACTCCCCACTACTCTTGGGGTGGGGAAAGAAGGAGAGGATAAGGGGTAGTATTGAGTAGGCACACCTTGCTCTCTCTGCTCTCCACCCCCCATGCCTGGACCTGTGATGTGGGAACCAAAGAGGCTGAGCGCACAGAGTGGGTGAAGGTCTCTTAGGGCTTGTCTACACAGGAAAATTTCCTCATGGCCGTGTTAGGACCAGTCACAATCTAGCCCTGGAGTAGGAAGCTTGTTGTACCCATTATCATCCTCAACAATTAGTCAGCTTCCCCTGTGTTTGGGTTGGTCTTTCACATAGCAAAGGAGAGAGGAAAATTATATATAAAACTAAAAAGTGATTTTAAAACCAGAACAACTGGCAGGCAACTCAAAAGCAGATGTTGTACTTTTAAGTCATTTCTTGAACTTGACTGGATTTTCTAAGTACAGCTTTGCATTCATTTGGTCCCCATCTCTTAAATACTGTAGTTTTCATTTAAAATGTTTCTTTTGTGAAGTTAAATGTCTTTTTATTTGTTTCCAGGAAATGGCTCTTGAAGTTAAATGAGACTGGATAAAATATATACATGAAGCAGAGGCTGCTCTACATGTGTTAAGGCTAAAATACCAGAAGAGTTTTTGATCAGCCAGACTTGGTAGCTTGTCATAATGAAGAAAATTAGTCTCAAAACAATTCGCAAGTCCTTTAACTTAAATAAAAGCAAAGAAGAAAGTGACTTTGTAGTGGTTCAGCAGCCATCATTAAGTGAATTTGGAAAAGATGACTCCTTGTTTGGCAGCTGCTATGGTAAAGATTTGGCTAGCTGTGAAGTTAACAGTGAAGATGAAAAAGGTGGCAAAAATAGATCAAAAAGTGAAAGCTTAATGGGTACTTTAAAAAGAAGGCTTTCAGCAAAACAAAAGCAGAAAGGGAAAGGCAGCACACCATCTGTAAGCTCTGCTGATGACGATACCTTTTCTTCCTCATCTGCTCCAATAACCTTTAAAGATGTGAGAGCTCAAAGACCTCTAAGGTCCACATCCCTCCGTAACCACCATTACAGTCCAACACCATGGCCCCTTCGATCGACAAACTCAGAAGAGACTTGTATCAAAATGGAAGTGAAAGTCAAGGCCTTGGTCCACTCCTCTAACCCAAGCCCAGCACTGAATGGTGTTCGAAAGGACTTCCATGACTTGCAGTCAGATAGTGTGTTTCAAGAACAAAACAATACATTAAAAAGTACAGAATCCCAGAATGGGGACCTACATCTTCATATTGATGAACATGTGCCTGTAGTTATTGGACTAATGCCTCAGGACTACATTCAGTATACTGTGCCTTTAGATGAGGGAATGTATCCTTTGGAAGGATCACGTAGTTACTGTCTGGATAGTTCCTCACCCATGGAAGTTTCAACTGTTTCTTCTCAAGTGAGTGGAAATGCTTTTCATGAAGATGAGGGTCAGGTGGATCAAGATGTAGTTGTTGCTCCAGATATCTTTGTGGACCAGGCAGTGAATGGTTTGTTGATTGGTACCACAGGAGTCATGTTGCAAAGCCCAAGAGTTAATCACAGTGATGTCCCTCCACTCTCACCATTGCTACCTCCGATGCAGAATAATCAAATCCAAAGGAACTTTAATGGACTGAATGGCACAGATGCCCATGTGGCTGAAAGTATGCGCTGCCATTTGAATTTTGATCCTAACTCTGCCCCAGGAGTTGGAAGAGTTTATGACTCTGTACAAAATAGTGGTCCTATGGTTGTGACGAGCCTCACAGAGGAACTGAAAAAACTTGCAAAACAAGGATGGTACTGGGGCCCTATCACACGTTGGGAAGCAGAGGGAAAACTGGCGAATGTGCCCGATGGTTCATTTCTTGTTCGAGATAGCTCTGATGACCGTTATCTTTTAAGCCTGAGTTTTCGCTCCCATGGTAAAACTCTTCATACTAGAATTGAACATTCAAATGGTAGGTTTAGCTTTTATGAACAACCAGATGTGGAGGGACATACTTCTATTGTTGATCTAATTGAACATTCAATCAGGGACTCTGAAAATGGAGCTTTTTGCTATTCAAGGTCTCGATTGCCTGGATCTGCAACTTACCCGGTGAGATTGACAAACCCAGTATCTCGGTTTATGCAGGTGCGTTCCTTACAGTACCTGTGTCGTTTTGTTATACGTCAGTATACCAGAATAGACCTGATCCAGAAACTGCCTTTGCCAAACAAAATGAAGGATTATTTACAAGAAAAGCACTACTGAAAGCTTATGGGAATCTTGCATCTTGCACTTTGGGAACAAAAAAAAAGATTGAAATACAGTTTACAAATTTTCATTGCTATCAAAATCTTTTGCTGCCATAACAATGTTTCATTTTTGTGTGTAAAGAAGGGTAATGCATCTTTTTTGTTTGTTTATGTTTGGTGTTTTTTGTTTGTTTGAGGGGGCTTTTTTTTTTTTTTTTAAAGAATGATCACAGGGTTTTTAGAAGTGTGAAATAGCTATCTTTCATCAATGTGCAGAAAATAATCACAATGTGAATGATCAAATTTTCCTTAATTTCCCCAAGTGCTGCTATCCACTGTGATTTTCATGCATTGAGTGCATTTCATGTGTATTCAACCATAAGTAAAAGTGAAATGAAACTCGTAGAATCGAATTTTTGTCGTCTTAAAATGGCCTATTTTATAAAGATAATTGTGGACAAAACATACAGGTAGATAAATTACAGAATTTAGGTATACAGTGAAAATGTATTCCCAGCATCCTAAATGAACATCTCTATAGAACTGCCCTAATTTAAAACTTATTAATTGATGTAGCTGTGTGATGGAATATAGTTATGCAGCATATCTTTGGAAACCTCCTTTCTCCTAAATGATTTCATAGTTTGTACTCGCTATTTTGCCTTTGAGAAATTGGGTTGAATTTTCTTATTCTTGGAATTTCCTTATAATTTTTTCTTCTCCTTTTAAAAACAGCCTTTAAAAACAGTTTTGAAAAACAGTACAGAGCATCAATATGGAAATTGTAGTATTTAAAATTATGCTAAACATGGATTACTAATAAAAAGCAACAGAGGGTCCTGTGGCATCTTTAAGACTAACAGAAGTATTGGGAGCAT